TTATACCAAGTTTTAAACTGGTAAAGATGTGCATAATAAATGAAAAGTATAACACTCAAAATTTTATGCAAAAAATCAAGAACATCGGCACTTTCTAAAAAAAATATTTGGTGATATCCCATAATTTAGGTTAGATCATAATTTCTCTATATTGCTGTAATTAACTAATAATTAATCAATATCATGCATTGTATGACTTGATTTTTGTTGTGTTTGTATTTTTAGGATGCAAGTTATTCTCCCTCAGGATCAGAAGATCAAAATGGTAGAGAAGTATCTGAGGTTAATGTTTTTTCCTACCTATGCATCATTTTTTTATTTTTATGTGAAAGTACTAGTTTGATTCTCTCTTTGTACTTAGTATAACAGGAGAATAAGGAAATTATGCAAAGTAATTATAAAACTGACAGGGATAAAACAAAAACACACACAACAAAGAGTTTTTTTCATGTTTCTATAKAATTTTGCATATAGACAAACCTTTTTTCTCTATTCTTATTGGCTAACTTTCCTCAAATTTATTGGAGTTGTCATTATAGCATATATCACACTTTTATCATGGAATCATTCAAATTGCTCATTGATTTTTTTAGGATGAAAATTACTTTACCTCAGACTCCGAAGCAGAAGATAATGACAGAGAACTATAATAATAATAATAATAATAATAATAATAACAATGTGCAATTTATATAGCGCAAATATCCATACGTTCATATGCGCTTTACAGTAAGAAGATATGAATAACAATAAAACTTTTAAGAAAGTAAACAATATATCAATAATAATGACATTGACTTCAATACTAATACATCTTTTTTACAATACTTTTAACATTTCAACATATACGTATTTTTAATATATAAATGTATATAAAAAAAAAACAAATCTTAAATTTACATCTTATAAAATATTTAAAAGAATGTTAATATGCCTGTTGAAAAATCCAGGTCTTTAAAGCTTTTTTAAAATTTGATAGACAAGAGCTAGATCTGATAACACTTGGTAGTGAGTTCCACAATTCAGGGCCAGAGAAGGAAAATGCCCTTTTGCCATAAAGCTTAAGATTAAAAGAAGGTTTAACTAAAAGATTAGATGAAGAAGATCTTAAAGAGCGTGCGGGCACATACGGATGCAGAAGATTTGAAAGATAAGAAGGAGTATTTTCATGTAGAACTTTAAAAGTGATTAAAAGTATTTTATATTGAATACGCTGCTCAACAGGCAACCAATGCAGGTTACTAAGAATGGGAGTAATATGCTCATATTTGCAAGAGTAAGTTACAAGTCTAGCTGCAGCATTTTGAACATACTGAAGCTTTCTTAGAGTTGTCTTGGGAAGATCATACAGTAATGAATTACAGAAATCAAGTTTAGAGGTCACTAGYGCGTGCACMAGAGTCTCACAGGCATCCATGCTGAGAGATTTTCTGATTTTCCAAATGTTATGAATGTCAAAGAAGCATGCTTTACATGTTGCTGTTACATGAGCATCAAGTGACATATTCTTATCAAAAATAACACCGATGTTGCGAACAGTGGCTGATGGAGAAACATCAAAACCAGAAATACTAAAAGAATCCAAAGATGGAGAAGAACGTCGTGGAGAGGAGATCATTAATATCTCAGTCTTATCACCATTTAATTTCAATTTATTTTGAACCATCCACATGGCAATGTCATGAACACAGGCTTCAACTTTGTGTTTTGCAATATTGAGTTCAACAGAGGATGATGAAGGAAAAGAAATGTAGAGTTGAGTGTCATCAGCATATAAGTGATACTCTAAACCATGAAGACTTATAACATTAGCAATAGGGGATATATACAGTGAAAACAAAATAGGTCCCAAAACAGAACCCTGTGGAACACCACAATCAAAACTACGGGAAGTAGATGTGCCATCCTGTACACTAACATAGAATGTTCTGTAGCTTAGGTAGGATTTAAACCAKTTATAAGCATTCCCAGTAATACCAAAATCCGAAAAAAGTCGATTTAATAATATTCGATGATTAACTGTGTCAAAAGCTGCAGATAAATCTAGAAGAACAAGAAAAACTGATTTGCGTTGATCAATTGCGCACAAAATGTCATTGTGAACTTTCAAGAGGGCAGTTTCGACACTATGATGTTTCTTATATGCCGATTGGAGTGGCAACTGAAGGTTATTCTGTTCGAGGTGGTCAACCAGCTGTGAGGCCACTACCTTTTCAATGGCCTTTGATAAAAACTTTAAATTTGAAATCGGTCTAAAACTCGAAAACTCCTCTGACGGCAAGGTTTGCTTTTTAAGAAGTGGTTTAATAACAGAAAGCTTAAGTGGTAAAGGCATTAATGCATTCTCCAAAGAAAGATTGATTATTTTAGTAATAATCNTGGCAACTGAAGGTTATTCTGTTCGAGGTGGTCAACCAGCTGTGAGGCCACTACCTTTTCAATGGCCTTTGATAAAAACTTTAAATTTGAAATCGGTCTAAAAMTCGAAAACTCCTCTGACGGCAAGGTTTGCTTTTTAAGAAGTGGTTTAATAACAGAAAGCTTAAGTGGTAAAGGCATTAAWGCATTCTCCAAAGAAAGATTGATTATTTTAGTAATAATCGGGATTAATTGATCTATGCAAAGTTTTAAAGCTTTGCCAGTAAGAGGATCAAGACTGCACGACTTTGATACTAATGGGTAAATAATTTTCGAGACATACTCAGTGGAAACCTCAGAAAAAGATGAAAGACTGTTGTTTAGTAAAGCAGGCTGATTTCCCAGGTAACAACTGACGTTGACAAAATTACTTTGAATTGTTTTGATTTTTTCCACAAAAAAGTCAGCAAACGAATTAGCAAGATGCTTGTCGGAAGAAGCTGATGGAAACTCTTTATTACCATTTTTGTGAGTCATCTTCTCAAAAGTAGAAAACAGCACTTTCTGGTCGCCCTTGTGCTCATTTATTATGTTAGAGTAATATTCATTTTTAGATGACTTGATGAGATTTTTAACCACATTGCATTGTTCATTATATAACTGTTTATCAATTGTYAGACGAGATTTTCGCCATTTATTCTCAAGATTTCGACGTTTAGCTTTCTGTGCTTTAATCTCTGATGAGTACCAAGGAGTACTTGGACGTAGCGTGATAATACGATTTTTAGACGGAGCGTGGATATCAAGGATAGAAGATAAATCCGACTCATAATGGTTTATCAAAGATACAAGATCATTTGAAGTAGAGTGCAAAAGTGAGGAATTACAGATGTCATCTAAAAAATTTTCCTTAACAATRGCATTGAGATTACGTCTTCTAGAAACAATYYTTGGAAAAGGTGGCTTGTTTATTCGTAGATCACCAGAAACAGCACAGTGATCAGAAATTAATGGATCAGAAACAGTAATGTTGGAAATAACATTGTCTTGAGCCCTAGTAATGACTAAGTCAAGTATATGATTGTTACGATGAGTGGCTTCTTTGACATGTTGTGTTAAATTGAAAAGCTCAAGTAGATTAAGAAACTTTTTGGCAGATGAATCCGAGGCATCATCAACATGAAAGTTGAAATCACCCACTAGTAGGAAAGAACAAGATCTCGAAGAAAATTGCTCAAGGAAAAGAGAAAATTCCTCAAAAAACATAACCTCAGTTAATTTATTGCGCTTAGAAGGAGGTGGTCTGTATAAGACGAAAATAGATATTTGTGGCGAAGAATTAAGAGACATGCCCATTAGTTCGAAAGATTTGTATTTATTTAGAGACATTTGGTTAAGTTTTAAGGATTTTTTATACAAAAAACCAACTCCACCACCTCTACTACCTCTAGGAATATGTTTAAAAGTGTATCCAGAAGATTTAAGTTCATTTATTACTTGTTGATCATCAGATTTTAGMCATGTTTCAGTTAAACAAACAACATCAACATTATTATCACTCACAAAATCATTTATAAATAATGCTTTATTGCATACTGACCTTGTATTTAGAAGACAAAAAGTTGCCTTTTTTCTGATGACAGGAGTAAAGGGAATTCGTAGAGGTAGGACAAGATTATTTTGATTTACACCACGTCGATGTTTGTCGTTAGAAGAAGACTTATTTCTGTTAGTAATAATCGGAGAGATGTTTCGACTTTGTCTCTTGTGGCGACGACCAGCTCGATTTCGACGGGTATTAAGAATCTTAAGATGTTTTAAAGATGAAAAGGCTTCAGATGATAGATAAAATTTCCCTTTAAGGCCAAGAAGATCCAATCTAGAGTAGGTTATCCTTGTTGAAGTTGATTTCTTTAGATTTGAATATGGCGCCAAGCAATGTTGTTGTGTAATCACTCCAAAGTCATAAAAATAGCTCCATCGAGGGGTCGGCATCGTAAAAAAATTCCTAATAAGTATCTATAAAACGTTTAAAAAGCTAAATACATTAAAATAAAGTGTAATAAGACATAAAAAGGTAGAAAATCTAGTAAAATTTACGGAGCTCATAGAAATCNTGGTATTATTTTCCCTCTTTGTACATTTACTGTTGAGCACTTGTCCAGTCCCCATTCCAGACCTATCTCTTTGAACATTTGTTCCATCTTTCGTGTTTCAACCATTGCCTTAGTGGGTGATTTGTGGAAGGTTTTTAAATCGTCTACATAGCGTCAGTGTGTTATTTTAGTTTCTGGTAAGTTTGGTGAGGACGTAGCCTTCGTTGTTTCGTAGGTTCCACGCAATGGGATTGAGGCACATTGTAAATAATCGTACGCACAATGAATCTCCTTGTAGGATCCCTCTGTTTAGTGTGATTGGACCAATTTGGGCTCTTCCATCTTTAGTCTGTACATCTAAGGTGATCCTCCAGTTTTTCATGATGTTCTTAATAAGCGCTGTTATCTTTGTTGGTAKTCCGTAKTGGTCTAGACATCACTCGAGCCAAGCATGGGAAACCTCCAAAATTGCTTTATCAATGAGGAGGTTGTCGATGCAATTATTAGTATTATTCTTTATTTATTTCACAGAATAAGACTGGGTGCTTACAGGTTTCGCCAGGAATAAACCTTATTCCTTAGGCTTTCTCAATACAATTATAAATGAAATATATAACCGTCTATAGTCCAATATTTCTCATCATGTGGGATGAGCTTAACAGTACAATCTTCTGCAATGTTTTTATCTGAATGTTGATATTTTTTGCAGATTTTCTGTTGTTCCGTTTTTTATCGTTCCTAGGGCCCCTACAATGACTGGTATAACTTCCGTAGTGGTACCCCACATTCTTCTAATTTCAATTTCAAGGTCTTTATACTTGCTTTTCTTTTCRTGGTGTTTAAGGCAGATGTTTCGATCTGATGGTGTTGACATATCAATCAGTTGGCAYGTGTTATTTATGCTGTCTTTAACCACTATGTCTGGCCTGTTCGCATGAATTGCCCTATCTGTTATTATTGAACAGTYCCACATGATGGTAATGTGATCTTTGATTACAACCTTTGGTGGATCGTGCTGGTACCACTTGTCTGTCACCTGAACTCCGTGATCTTTGCAGATAACCCAATGTAAGTAAGAGGCTGCGTTGTTGTGTCTTTTTAAGTACTGTGTTGGTGCAGGAATCTCACAGCCGGTAAGAAGATGATCGATAGATTCCGTTTTGCTGTGGCATAGTCTGCAGAGACCATCAGTGCTGTTGTCTTTAAGGACGTAATGTTGATAGTTGCGTGTCATTAGCRATTGGTCTTGTGCAGCAATGATGAAACCTTCAGTCTCACCTTTTAAGTCGYCTGCTGTTAACCATAAGTTGGTAGCTGCTTGATCAACATAGGGCTTCTGCACGTTTATTCGATATTGCCCGTGCAATGGTTTCCCTTGACGGTGTCATAGGAACTGTTGTGATTTGAGACAAGAATAGTTTCCAGTCTCCTTTGAAATTTTGGAAAGCCCATGTGCCAATAATTAATAAATTCAAGAATTCATTTTAAGAAAAAATAAAATGAGAAACGTTCTATTCTGCACATCACAGATATGATGGTGATTGACAGAAACAGAAAATTCATAAACAAGGGCATTAGGAAAACTGAAAAAAATATGGGGAAGTGATTCCATTTACAACTGACCTTGGACCACCGGTGGGCAATCTGCCTTTTTATGGAAAAGGCCACCACATTTTAAGCATCTCGGCCGTGCATAAATCTTTGCTGCAACTGCAGGTTTCAGTGTTTTTTTTTGTGGACGTACCATCACTATCAAGATCAGATAGAAAATTTGTGAAAACTAGAGACACAGTGTCTCTACCAATGAAAATACTAGTGACAGGAAATTTGCATGATGGATCARTTTCAAATAGAAATTTCCCACTAAAATTAGCGAATTAATTAGGAAACTAGCTAATTCACGTGTTATTTTTCATTTTAGAAGATTTATTTGTTTAAAAAARCATGTACGCGAATTCATTTTTCCCAAAAAGGGGGGGCCGGCACCGGACCCTCCTGCCACTGCTAAGTTCTTTCTTTTAACATTATTCACTACGATCAAACGGACCGCAAASTATAAAGTCACC